ACAATAAAAATCAAAAAATAAATAAATATTTTTGAGAAAAAGGATGACCAAATTGTTTATGAGTTAATTGTATCAAAACAAAAAAAGAGAAAGGGAGAGTAAAAGCTACACACGTTAGTTGGACAGGTGTTTATTATAATACACATATACATACAGATCCTCCGCCCCTCCCTCGCCCACGTGCAATCACTAACCTACCACCCACACACCCACCCACGCATACTTAACAAAGTTAAATAAACAATTAAAATAAAGTGAGGAAATTTTTTTGTTTAGAAAAAGGAATATTTTTGAGGTTAATAATTAGAATTTAGCCCTTATACACACACATATATACATGCCACTCCTTTTGTATTTCTAAGGTCATAGTGAGAAATGAGATAAACAAAGTGTGGAGGAGTTAAAAGAAGAGAAGGGGGAGGGGCGGGGGGGTAAATATTTCACATTGTAACAAACAATATAAGATGCTAGTAGATGGCCTTAAATCTATCGACACAATGCCTTCTACACAGAATTATATGGTCACTACCATCATTTTCAATACCAACAATAACAATAATAACTTGAGATTATCTTAGCTGTTTAATAGATTAATTTGGCTAATTTTGTTATTTTATTTTGTTTAATTGACAGATGCACGAAATCACATACACACCACACAGAGAAAAGAAAGCTTTAATTATTGTGCCAAATTGTTCTCTTTACAAACTTCTTTATCTTTTATTGAGGCTAAATGAAGACAAACGCATTGCATTGTGCAGCAGCACACCAGGTTGATTATTATTACTATTCTTCCCTTGTGTTCCGAGTGTAACATTTGGCTTCAACAACACATCACCACTTTGTCCTATCTTCAGGCGTCCTCTTCAGCTGGCCAGGCCCATCGTTGCCCACAATCTCTCATCTCTTCCTTAACAGACGATCTCCTCCATGTTACCCTCTCACTGACGGCCCACTCGTCGTTTCCCATTTGTATTCCACTCTAGGCTATGCCTGGCGCGATGTCATTCGACGATCTCCTCAATGTATGCCCGACCCATCTCTTGCTCTTGCTTTGTCGGTTTTCTTCACTGTAGAGTTTCTTGTTACTTATTCTTTCTGGCCTGCCATTTGTTTTTCAGTATGGAGCCAGCGAAGGCAGCTGTTGATGAAAGTCTGAAACCTATTGGAAATCCTTCTCGTGACTCACGCGCTGTGCAAGTTTCTGGCGCGTATAGAAGGACGGACTTGACATTATTGTTGAAAATGAGAATCTTGTTCCTTAATTTGAGTGAAGTAGAAGATTTCCAAACTGGTTTCAGGTTTAATTGAATTTTAGATTTTCCCGTCCATTGATTGACTGGACTGAAGTGCTCAGTCTCAGGTTGACATGTCGGCTTCTTGTGCGGACGCTTCGACGATGTCTGGGCATTTAAATAGTATTTAATTGGTGGATGGTGACTAGCAGCGGAATCCAGGATGTGCATTTCGTCTTATTTGGGATCGAGCACTTCGGTCCAATCAATCAACCAGAAAATCTAAACTTAAATTAAATGAATGTGACCGTTGCACAAGAGATAGTGGCTCTCGTGGCCCAACTGGCCTAGTGGATAACGCTTTGGCGTTTGAAACTATGGGCACTGGGTTCTGGCCTCGGTGGGAACGTCATCACTCACTGAGAAATGCGGGTACATCCAGCTGGCGGACGAGTCCCAAATAGGACGAAATGCGCGTTATCCTGGATTACTCCACTGCTAGTCACCATCCACCAATTAAATGGTTTCAGGTTGATGAATGCATATCTCGCCTTTCCGGTTCTCGCTTTGATATCTTCATCTGTTCCGACACCAGGCTGATAAAAAGACTTAATTTTTTCTTTCAAATAACGCAGAATGTTTACTATGCGATTGTTTTTGTAGAGGCGATAACACAGTAACTAAGTAGCTTGATTGTCATTGGGCTAGATTCAACTAGTGGTATATTATACCACTGATTTATGATTGATTGATATGAGTCCTTGGAAGCAAATTATGACAACCAGTAGTACCTCTGTTAGTCAGACTGAATTGATCTAACCATCTAACAGTCATTTCGCTCGTAAGTGCCCGAGCTTAGAAACTCTTGCTGCAGCTGGTTCGACTAAGATTAGAGAGAGAGAGATAATCGGATCAGTTAAAACCAGGATGGATTTCTATAGATATCACGTCTGATTATATGTAGAATTCGTAGCAACCATAAGATATTTATGGTGGATGATTATCTCGGAGTAAACGAAAAAGCCTGAAGAGATATCTGATTATTTACGAAGGGGTCAATATTTTTGTGAATCGGTGTACTTTATCCAACTTTTAACGGTTATGAAATAACGGTTGTTCAAGTCAGATAACCTGTGAAAAATCTAACAATTCTAGGATCAGTGCCTTCACAACAACACTTGTGGCTAATGAAAGCATCACATTAGAATCACATATATTGGGCATAAAGCCTTATGGGAGGCAGACAGGTTGGTTAAGGAAGCTACAAATTCTCATCCATTAAGGTGGGTAGGATATACAATATGCTGAAGACATATCTTAGAATACCTGTCTCTGATCATAGGTGTCTGTCTGTGTTCAACCTCCTGTGTGAAGTGTTGGTATAATAAGGTGAGCAATATTGAGGTGAGGCATCGCTCGATTGCTAGGTGAGTTGGAGGGAAAATCAGTCAACAAGGTTGTGACTGAGATGGTTAGGACTAGTGTTACGCATGCCTAGTCATCAATCGCCATCCTCGACAACGATTAATGTTAGCTGACTGATATAGGATGGATCAGGTTGGAAAAGAGTTAGCTAGTGGTGGTCAAAACAAAACACGGCTTCATCAATCAATGAAATAAATCCGCAACAGTGAGTTTAAGTCAGCTAGCTACGTAGAGAGGTGTAGACCGGCTGCCCAGCTGGCTGACTGGGGTCCTCGGGATGGTAAGAACCAATGATGGCGGCTGGAGACAATTGGTGGTGTGGCTCAAAATCCTCGTCCCCAGTGAGAGCGTAAATGTATTCATCACTGTTCGTGATTTATCATATCCAATAAAACTCTACTGTTCTTCCATATTACCATTGTTTTTCCCTGACTCATACTTCTGTATATTATCTCTCTCTTCTTTTTCCTTGTGTGCTAGGAAATGGATGGAGAGCGGCAAATGGAACTGGTGCACGTCTGCGCAAAGTTCTACGTTGAAACCAGTCGGTGAGTCAGATATGCAGATACACACGTCAATTATATCTGCTTGCTATGCTAGTGGCAGTACGGTCAGGTGGAAGGAAGTAATGGTCAAGTGAGCCAATATTATATGAAATTACTGCACCGATTCATGATGCCAGTGACATCAGTCCGAGGTGTGTAGGGAAATGTAATGTAGAGCTGCAGGATAACTAATATCCATAAATGAACACTAGGTTAAACCACCCACAATTCCCAACATGTAATATAACAAGAAATATAACATATATACATACATATATCACGTCAAAAGATTAACAGAAAAAAGAGAATACTGTATACCTTCTTTTTAATACCGTTACACACAGAGAATCCAATTTGCAGAAACACGGACAACATTTCGACAGATGAAAATTAACCTCTTCAAGCACACACTTTATTTATCCGATTTTTTCACACTAGCTCTGCAATAATGTTTAAATGATGCTTGTCACATGCACAGAGCATGTCAAATTCTTATAGTCTTTCAAAATGTTACCATTTTCCTAAATTGAATTTGAATATGTAAAGTAGGCTGCTATATTTTGGCACTGCATAACTATACTACTTATACACATTGTCAGTAGGTAAAAACATACTGTAAATAAATCTAATCAGTGGTGTCTAATGAAGGAAGTTTAGACATATTCAGTACAATTTTTAAAAACAGGTGAATGTAGTAGTCAGGAAATGTTAAGGATCCTAGTGACATTTAAATCTCATAGAACTTTAAAGTGTCAAAACTTTATTCAGCTTGCTAACGAGCCACGATACAAAGTAATTGAAAAATTGGTGTGCATAAGTTGTTATTGGTACTTGTTTCATATAAAAGGGAAGGAGTTCAGTTAGGAGTTACTCCTCTTTTCGGTGATATCATTCTCATGCTGCACAATCGCATATATTTATAGTAGATTCTATACCAACAACAGGAATACTTCCAAAGATTGTGTAGTGTAGAAAGCGTTAACCGGGCAGAAACTAAAATAAAATTTAATAAGTAAGTCGAGTGACATACGTAATATAGTTGATGGGGTTAAGTAGAATTCAACTCCTTATTACCACTTTTTTAACTTGACTGTATCTCTCTCTGTTTTGTTCAATTTTAATTGAATTTTACTCAACGTCGTCAGGTGCAGTACGTCACCCAACTTATTTATTTTATTCTACTTTTTATCCAATTAACGCTTTCTGCACTAAGTAATTTGTTGTGTAAAATTTACAATTCTAACGACAGATCTTTGAAAATATTTCTTTTGTTGCGAAGACAGTTTACCATGTATATATGCGATTATACACCCTGAGAATGGTGTTGCCGAAAAGAGGACCTCTTCACTTAACGCCTTTTCTTTTCGTATGACTCAATAGGGATTTCCATGTTGCTTAAACGTTGCTAAGATATTTGTTTCGCTACATTATTCTCACTGGAAGGAAATACTTTTTCTCGGTTGTAGTATGGAACTGTATGGGAGACCACTTTGATATTGTTATTACTCAGTAAGATTAAATCCCGTCTTCAATCAATCAATATAGACGATTGTATGGAAAATTCAAATCAGTGTAAACCAAATGTTACGGTGGAACAGCGGTAGAACGTTCGCCAACCATGCCACACGTGGTCCGAGGTTCGATCACCGGCGAATGGACGCACTCCTTTACCTCGCTAAGCCAGTAATAATACTGGTAGAGTGGGAAGTTTGGGCATGAGGTGGCTAGCAACCACAGCTACGAAAACTTTAAGCCTCTAGCTTGAAGCCCTATGTTCCACCACGGGGAACGTAAAGGAATAAAACAATGTTTAAAAACAAAGTGTAAACCAATCACTTTAGACGAATGTCAACTGAGAAGTTTCATGTAATTACCGTTGAACATCAATATTTCTCAATAACAAATTAGAATATGCTTGATACATGTATCCATATTAAAGATATGTGCCTAACGCATAACCTTAATCAACTGTCACCCCGAAATATGACATGGCAGAACACATGAAGACTGGTGGACTCCAATCTTCCTACCCAAAATACTTTCGTATGGTTAAATATTAACAGCCTCTGCTAATTAGGTCTTATTCACCGTTTTCATATGGCAGAGGGTATTATTACAACAAATATGAAACGACGAATGCAAATGTTTGGCAATCATCAACAGGTTGGTGGACATACAGGGTCCACCCAAGTGAGTTGGATAACACTGATTCCAGACCTCTAATGGATATGAACCTCAAAAGTTGAGAAGAATGAATGGTGTAAGAAAATGGTTTGGACACTCACAACTCCGAGAAAAAAGACAGCTGACCTGACGTTGCTCTACTGTCTTTTTTATTTTTCCTTCACGTTCCCAGTGGAACAAAGGGCTTCAAGCTAGAGGCTTGAAGTTTCTGTAGCAGTGTTTATTTTTATAGGATAGGGTTGCTAGACTCATGCCCAACCTATCCTCTTCACCAGCTTCACTTCTGGCTGAGTGAGGTAAAGGAGTGCGTCGGCTGGGGATCGAACCCCGGACCATGTGCATGGTCGGCGAGCGTCCTAACCGCTATGCCACCGACGCACGCTCTACTGTCTTATTAATTAGAAATCAAGTCAAGGGCTAGGGGGGCATGGTTAATTAAGACAACCTGACTGACCAAATGACTGGCTTCAACGTAGAACTTTGCACCGATGTGCAGCAGTTCGAGTCGCCACACTTCACTAAGCACACACAGTAAAAAAAAGTGAAAATAAACGCAAAATAGAGACAGTAAACAGAGATATGAAACAAAAACAATAGTAATATAGAAGAACCATATAGTTTTACCGGATATTGTAAGTCAGAAGGAGTGGATGCATCTGCGTCAGCCACTGAGAACGATTTTGAGCCATATGACCATTGGTTTTAACCGTCCCGAGGACTCCAACCAGGAAGTCTACATCTTCCTACGTGGCTTAAACTAACTGTTGTGGATTTCATTGACTGATGAAGCCTGACCACCACTTGCTCGTTTCCAACCTTATCTTATGTTACTTAACATTGCCCGTCGAGGAAGGTGATGGCTACGCATACATAAAAAACATATCCTAACCACCTCTTTCAAACACTGTAACTTCATAGCCTCGTCTATTGATTTCCCCTCCCACCCACCTAGCACTCGATGGACACCTAACCTCAATATTGCTCACCTTATTATACCACCACTTAACACACAGGCAATAGAACGCAGACGCCTATGATCAAAGATCATGTCCTACACTCTCAAAGGCAAGGTTTCATAGACATAAAGGAGGACGGAGCGGACTGCTGAGCAGTACACATGTCATTTGGTCGACAGCTAGCCGGATATCACGTCTACGCCAGAGACGATGTAAACTGGCATATGCGAAATGAGTCTTCTGTATCCGTGATGAGATTTCGTCAGCGATCAACCCGTTGGCGTTGACTGATGCAACTTCCCAAATTAAGACAGCCACCTGTTCCACTATGATCAGTATCTCCGCTATCACACACGCAACATTTAAACAGAACTCCTTCGGAAAAATGTTAGCCGGAAATAGTACAACTAAAATTAAACCTATTCGCCCTTTTCATAAATCCAAAATTACAGTTCACAGTTTCCCACCAGACGACTTTTGCCATTTGACACCAATCGATGTCAGTTCACCATGAAAGTCAACAATTCACCGTGCGGTGAGAGCTGTCTGCCAGCCAAAATTGGTTGACAGTAATTTACATCAATGTTTACGTCCCATATCTTGGTCATATGAAAAAAAACAATAACAAAGCTTAACCTTCAGGAACTCAACAACCAATCACAGAAAACTTTGCGTGGGCGGTCATGAATAGCAGACATATGGTCTGACCTTCAAAGAAACGGCCAAAAAGAGATGACAGAATAACTTCCAGTGAGAAAACGACCAATCAGAAGACGCTGTTTCTGTGCTAACAATAACGAATAATAATGTACATAAAATATATAAATATCTGTTGTTTTTCTCAATAAACGATCTGTTGCCTGACCCTTGTCTTCTGTCGTTACAACCGATATTACTCTTCCTTAAACCGAAAAGAAACTTTTTTTAAAACAAAACAAAACATACAATGAAACACAGTAGAAAAGTGGAGACTTACAACAGATGCTGACCATGTTGAAATTTGTGAAAATCCACTGCGGACAAGTAGATTCTCCCAACTTCCAAGATGCATAGAACTTCGATGTAACAGATCAATATAATCACATGGTAGAAAATAATGCCAACGTAATAAGAAAACTAATAAACCAATCAGAAGACAATGTTGAAGGCACCACCAATAATCGACATATAAATATTCTTTCTGTAATGTAATGAAAAAATCGGATAATCGACGTATATATACTTTTACGAGTTTATCACGGATTGATATCAGTTAGAGAACCACTAGAAACCAAGGAGTAATGAACAGCTGTTTCGTCCTCCTTTGGGACTCATCGGCAGTAGGCATCCATTGAATTTCAAACCCAGGATCCTCCGGTACAAGGCAAGCTCGTATACAATTCAGCCACGAATTAGTAGAACTTAGAATTCATGGGCCAATGAATCAGTTCCCAGTGTCTGAATGATATACAAGCTTGCCTTGTGACCGGAAGGTCCAGGATTCTAACCCTGGTGGTGCGTGAGCACTGCCGATAAGTCCTAAACTTGGACGAAACAGATGGAAGAAATCCTAGAGAGATATTTCCATTTTCCGTCATTCTTCAGAAAAATACCTCTAACCTTTATAAATACTTCCGAATGCCATGAAGTTCTCCTAAAGAATATCATATAAGCGCGACACCCCGGATTCACTATTCAGCTTTAGATGAGTTGTGGATAAACTTATCTTTATAGTCAACCCTTCTACATTGTCCATATGTTTATGTCATTACAACTAGCAACACTTATGACTCTCTTTTTCTTTACCCATTATGCTCTGAATTTGCGTTTACACATGTTTTACTAGACATAACGTTAGTACCAATGAGCGAATAAAATTAGTAAAGTTGCAGCTGATTCCTCCTTTACGACTATTGAGTCCTTAGTCCTCTTTGGTTTTAGGTACCTATCAGCCTTAGGCGTCTGCATGTCTAGCCATCGTCATCCTCGACAACGGGCAATACTAGCTGACTAACATAGAATGGATCAGTTTGGAAAAGAGTTGGCTAGTGGTGGTCAAACCAAAACATTCAAGTATTGGTTTTGGTATGCAGGACAAATGCTCACCGCCGAAGACATTGCCTAGCGGTCGCGCTGTGTCGTGAATTGGCTGGCAGAAGTTAGAATTCATGGACCATTGGATCGTGTCCCAGTGGCACAATGGTCTACGAGCTAGCTCGCTTGCCTTGTAACCAGAAGGTCCTGGGTTCGAACCCTGTCGACGGGTGAGTACTGCTAAAGAGTCGCAAACTAGGCTGACGAAACAGCTGTCTAGCAGTGCTCCCAGTCGGTTGTTTTCCAATGGTTCTCTAACCAATGTCAGCTCATGATGAAATCCTGCAAGCAAATCCATAACAGTTAGTTTAAGCCAACCAGACATATAGGGAGGTGTGGTGTTCCTGACTGACTGACTGGTTGGTTGGAGTCCTCCTCGGGATGGTAAGAACCAATACCAATGACTGCAGTTGGAGACAATCGGTGATATGGCTCTAAATCGTCCTTCGCAATAGCTGGCACAGATGCATTCATCACTCTTTGTGATTTATCATATCCAATAAAACTCTATTGTTCTTGCGTATTACTACTATTCTTTTTGCCTCACACTATTGTTGATTATCTCTCTCTCTCTTAAATCTCTCTTTACTATTATTAATCTATGTGTAAAACTTGGGCACTGTGGTAGTAAGCAATTCCATATTAGTTTGTTTATTACATGTATCACAAAGAGTGAAACAGTATTATTTACTGGATGACAAGGTTTCGAACACAATTTATTACCATTCATAATCATTACATCAATTATAATCACACGACTTCGATACTTGAGTTTTATAGTTTTCTTTGTTCTCTCCTATTTGTTGTCGTAGGAGAAGTAGAATCTTCTAGATGTCCAGGTGGGTGGACAGGTGTTGAATCACTTCTATTACACGTATTCCCTCTCAGTTGATTCGATAAACAAAGCTTGCGTTGTTATCAATCTCTCCCTCCACCATGCTGTTACATTACATTTTATCAATCCTGACTAATTTATCAGGGTAATTGTTAAGTTTCGAGGCTTCTTTGATGTGTATCATTTCCTGTCTTAGATACGCATAAAAGAAGCCTTGGAACTTAATAATTACCCTGATAAATTAGTCAGAAAGTATGTAGGGAAATGTAAAAATAAAAAATGATAGTAGTGATAGTGATAATGATAATATAATAATAATATTAATGACGACATGCATGTCAAACATGCGCAAGACAACACCAACAATAAGGAATCTAAATCATCAGCAGTAATTCCATACAAGGAAGGAACCTCGAAAACCACCTTACGCAGAATTCTTAACAAGGCAGGAATAAAAGTGGCTGGCATTCAAACTGCCCACAAACTCAATTAGAAACAAGCTTTGTCGATTAAAGGATCCTGTGGAGCCTTTAAAACAAAAAAAATGTAGTTCATCTAATACTCCGCTGAAATGATTGTCAGGTCAAATACATGGGTCAAAGTAATAGAACAGGGGCAGTCAGACTAGCCGAGCATAAAAACCTAGCAGCAAAATCTAGATTGGTTGACCCGAATAAGATAAGAAATCTAGAGAATAGTTAGTTCAGCTATAGCACTCACTACATGCAATTACACACAACCAACCATACAATAGGATGGGATAGGATGACAGTTTTAAAATCTAATGTCACAGATTGGAGGGAGAGATTGATAACAGAAGCTTTGTTTATCGAATCAACTGACAGGGAATACGTGTAATAGAAATGATTCAACACCTGTCCACCCACCTGGACATCTAGAAGATTCTACTTCTCCTACGACAACAAATAGGAGAGAACAAAGAAAACTATAAAACTCAAGTTTCGAAGTAGTGTGATTATAATTGATGGAATGATTATAAACAATACTAGATTGTGTTCGAAACTGTGTCATCCAGTAAATAATAATACTGTTTCACTGACTGTGTGATACATCTAATAAACAAACTAATATGGAATTACTCTCTTTACTCTTTTCTCTTGCAGAGTGACAACTCGAACTGCTGAACGTCTGCGTAAAGTTTCTGTGTTGAAACCAGTCAGTTAGGCAGTCAGTCAATCAGTCAGTCTAGGGTCTGAAAGTACCACCAACACCACCACCATATATAAAAACCTTTCAAAAGATGTTACATATGGCCACAAACACACACACACACACGAATACGCACACGCATAAACATACCTGTACAAATACAATTGGTAGAAAGCATGCATAATAGACAACATGTCCAGTACCAATTAAAATATCCAACAGTCTTGCATTGAAATCATATCGATTCAATTCGACTTCATCACGTATCTGTTCAGGTGTTACACCGAGACAATGATGTTTCAGTAAAATAAACTCATCTGAATTGTTATCACTTGTAGCAGTATTATTACTATTATTATTACTAGTAGTAGTATTATTAGCAGTAGTATAATAAGCTGTTTGTATTAATGATGATTTATTATTTCTTGAATGTGACGCCGATGATACTATTGGCGATGAAATAGATGTATACAATAAAGGGAATAGGGCATTCTTCGAGGATATACACGGCCAATTTGTAAATATGCCAATTAATTGTTTAGTGAATGAGAATAAAACCTGAAAGGGATAGAATTATATACAAAAGATGTGAAATATGACGGATTAGTAAGAAGAAAATACAGCTGAACAATTCTCAGATGAGATTCCCTACCTGGTGGACGTTTCGATGTTATACTAGATATCATAATTAAAAACGAAAAACAACTATATTTTTTAGTAAATTCCAAATTTTCTACAGTTTGGTTTGTAAGGGTTAGTTATGTTTTTACGAGTTGATCACGGAGGATTGATATCAGTTAGAGAACCACTGAAAACCAGTACTGGAGTACTGGACAGACAGCTGTTTCATCAGCCTAGTTTGGGAATCATCGGCAGTACGCACCCACCACCAGGGTTCAAACCCAGGACCTTCCGGTTACAAGGCAAGCTCGTATACCATTCAGCCACTGGGACCCGATTCAATGGCTCATGAATTCTAACTTCTACCAATTCGTGATTTAGCGCGACCCCAACCATTGTCGTTGGTAGGACATCCATTCACACACATGACATCTAATTGGACCTCACTGGTCACGACTTCTCACTAGAACTCCAGGAAACTTACGCTAAATCACGAATTGGTAGAAGTTAGAATTCATGGGCTGGCCATTGAATCGAGTCCCAGTGGCTGAATGGTATACGAGTTTGCCTTGTAACCGGAAGGTCCTGGATTTGAACCCTGGTGGTGAGTGCATACTGCCGATGATTCCCAAACTAGGCTGATGAAACAGCTGTCTGTCCTGTACTCCCTGGCTGGTTTTCAATGGTTCTCTAACTGATATCAGTCCGTGGTCAACTCGTAAAAATTCCAAATTCCTATTTCCGTAGTCAATTCTCTACTTCAATAACTTCATCGACTACGAAAGGGCCTTTCATAGACAGCGTTGACCGAGAAGTAATTCGGAAACTACTTCAACACTATGACGACGTACCTTAAGTCTTTTTATCAACCTCATTCAACAGCTGGCTATATGACAGTGCCTGCTGCCATGTGTCAGGTGATCCACAACGGAAAACTCAGCAAGGCGTGAACACAGGAGTACGACAAGCTGGTTGCCTATTATCACCCACGATGATATTCTCAATTGTGGTGGACTGGATTACGCGTCAGACTGTGGGGAGCGAGGAGACAGGAATACACTGGATCACCGATAAGAAGACTGACTCTAGAAGATATATGTCTAGTATCACACAAAAGCTCGAAGAATTGCAGGCAGGAGAAAACCAAAAAACTGGCTAAAATAAGAGTGCAGCGAAGATAGGACTGACTCCAGGTGAACATAGAGAAGGTTGAGACGGAGGTGATGAAAATAACCAACCAACCAACCAGCCAACAGCAAAAACAACAACCAGCAGCAGTAATCACCATCAACGCGAAAGATTTAACAGAAGTTACTTCCTTCACTTTTGCTAGGCAGCCAGCATCGTTTCAACTACAGGCGGAACGGATGAAGACGTCAAAGCCAGTCAGAATCGGAAAGGTGAGATACACCTTCATCAACCTGAAGCCAGTTTAGAAATCTTCTACACTCAGCATAAGGAACAAGATTCCGATTTTCAATACCAATGTCAGTCTATCCTTCTATACGGGTCAGAAACTTGCACTGCGTGTCACGAAAAGGATTTCCATCAACAGCTGCCTTCACTGGCTCCATACTGAAGATCAAATGGCAGGCCAGAAAGAATAAGTAACAAGAAACTCTGGCAATGAACAAACCAACCAAGGAAGAGCCGATCGCTCAACAAATATGTAGGAGAAAATGGAGATGGATTGGGCATACACGCCACTAAGGAGACCGTCGAATGACATCTCGCGCCAGGCCCTCGAGTGGAATCCAAATGAAAAGCGACGAGTGGGTGGGTCAGTGCGACGTTGACCTGGAGGAGATCGTGTGAGGAAGAGATAAGAGAGTTTGGGCAATCGCGGATCCGACTGAAGAGGATGGCATAAAATAAAAGAAAGTGGAGATGTGTTGTTGAAGCCCAATGTTCCACTAGGAACCCAAGGGAATAATAATATATATTAATATTATTTACGCATTTAGAAAAAAAACAACGACAGACTGAGCGAAGAAACATGTAGTCCTTTTCAATGAGTTCCTCATCGTCGGCTGGCTGGCTGGCTGTACACTAATACATAGTTTTCTACATCAAATTTTTTTTAACAAACAAGTGCTTGTTTTACTTAATCATTTTTAGGTATACCTAGACGACGGGAGTGGGTTGAAATTAAGAGGTTAAAAGTCATCAAAACGGCTAACTAATAAATGTTACTAACAAGACATCTAAGTTTTGAAGAAGGGAGGGTTGAAAATTAATTAATTGCTGAATTCAAGATAAGCTAATTCTCAGGCGCTAGCAACAAGTTATTACATAATCAAGAATTTGTAAAATAATGATGGCGACTCAGAAGAATAACGTGAAATACAAACAAGTTAATAGAATTAGCTGGAATTGTAAAAATAACAAAGCCAAAAGATAGTTACAAGGGGAGGGGGAAAATCGTTTGCAAAACTTAATACAACATCAGCGAGATGCTAACACAGCGCCTTAGAAATGCGGTAAAAAGAACATTCCCTGATGCCGAATTATGCTGTGTGTCTTCAAAACCACCCAGCCTATTTTGCGTTCGGGAGTAAAACACAAACTGCCTAATTTCGTCTCCTCCTGTGAAGTGAGCCAGATAGTTGAATAGGCTGTACAATTAGGCGTGTTTCTCGTCGAATTTCCGAACATCACCCTGCTTTGTGGTTAAGAAAAGGACAAACAAAATCTATTCGCAGTGCTATTCTATCTCATCTTGTGGATACAGAATACAAGATTGATGTCAACAAGGCGGATTTAAGGGTCATTTACCGCACACCAACAAATCTCAATTTCGCCTTAAGAGTTCGACTACTAAACATTGCTGAGGCTGGCTGTTGGGATCCATATTAACAAGCCTAATTTGTGCGTCCAAAAGAAGTTAGTTCAGACATTATCCTTACCTTGGCCATCTAGGTTTGAATGATCCTCAATTTTTGTGGAATTTTCCTAATTTTAGTTGATATTCTATTCGCTACTATATCTTTATTATTTTATTATCATAATTTAAGCATCTTTAATGAACTGTAATTCCATTGTGATCTTACTTTACAAATCGATATTATTTAAAAATCACTAATATTGTTATTAACTACTAATTTAAAATATTCTGTGTATATAAACATATATATAATTGTAGAGCCTGGAAGAGGAATTTATCGAAAAGGATATTCTTTGCTCAATTATTTTGTGTTTTATAGATGTCTGAATGAATATTTTTGCTACATATTATGTAGTTGGCCATGGGGGAGAAAATGGGCTGTATAAATTGCTTTTGAACTGACGCATAGATTCGGTTTGTTCAGATGAATTCCGATTGCCTCTGCTGTATATATATGTAAAAGTCGTACTCGTAGACCATGCGGCGACAGGTTGGGTGATATATGATAAATAATTTTAAAACCTTTGTTATAATCGACTTGATGTCCAGTCGGCATCGACGAGATGAGCTAGTATTATGGTGTGTATAGCTTTATTCGGACCTTATCCAAACCAAGATGGGAGGTGTTCAGAAATTCGGTGATGGCATTGCCTGATCGTATACCCGATGTAACTAGCTCCTCACGAGCAGCTAAACTGACAAATACACATGGAAGAGACGAAAGAAACAGGGCAGTTTGTCTTTATTTCTTAAACTAAGTATTGGTTGGCTAGTGAATATACACCACAACTTAGCTTTCAACGCGGCTAAGCTAAGTTTTGAAAAAAAAAACGATTTTTCCCCTCCTCTTGTAATTATCTTTTAAGTTTCTTGATGTTCAAAATTCTAGCTAATTCTATATACTTGTTTGTATTCTACGTAATTCTTCTGAGTCGCCATCATTATTCTACAAATCTCTTGATTACGTGATAACTTGTTGCTAACACCTAAGAATTAACTTATCTTAAATCCATAATTATTTAATTTTCATACCTCTCTTCTTCAAAACTTAGATAGCTTAATATCAGTAAAAAGTTTGAGCATTGTGGAATAGATCAAATAAAGTATAATTATATTTCAATATAGTTTACACACAATGATAAGTTTTGTTATTGGTAATATTTCGAGACTTGCAACAACGCCAGAGGACCAGTGTAAAGAAATAAACGTCCTATTCAAAATGCTACTCGAAAATAACTACCCAAAAGAATTTATAAAAGATAAGAGAAAAAAGAGAACATATCCCACTATGGCTAAGTAAAGGTGTAGTTAAAACTATTAACAGCTCGATATTAAACCATCTGGTGCAAACCGGTCACAAAGCCAGCGCAGAAGAATCCTTCTCTATAATCTACCGGGTGCCTAACAAATTACCAAAATCGTTGAAGCACCGCATACTCCAAACAGCAGAGGCTATTGCAATTCGCCTCAAACAACCAGTGCTCTGTGTTCAAAAGAAGCAAGTCCAGCCCCTACTACTGCCCTGGTCCTCAGTAGAGACTATAAACTCATGAATTTGTACTATTACCTTTCCTAATTCTTCTGACATTCAGTTTATTTTATGTTGATGCTATTCAGCTGTAATCTCTCAATATTATTGATTTGATGTTATTTCAACATTAATGTCGTTCATAAGACTAATTCATTCATTCACTATAATGTATATATAACTGTAGAGCCTGATGATGAATTTATCGAAAAGAGTACTCTTTGTTCCGTATCTGTTCTTTAGAAAAAAGAGGGTAAAACCGGAGAATAACAAGATGGAAGAATGCAAAAATAAAAACAGTCACAATACCACATAAAAATGGTACATCAGAGGCAATTCAAAGAAACCTCAAAAATATCGGCATTCGCACAACGTTTAAACCGACAAATCTAATCAAAAATAAAATAAATCAACTGAAAGATCCCATAAAAATGATGGATAAACACAAAAATGTGATTTACAAAATATCTTGTGCTGACTGTCCGACTAAATATGTGGGTCAAACGTCCAGATCATCACTCAAAA